CCACGCTAACTCTCCCAGGAACACACCCACTCTAACTCTCCCAGGAACACACCCACGCTAACTCTCCCACGCTTGAAAAGCTGTTTATACCAAAGTAATCCTGTTTTATAGCAACCATTCACCGCCCGAGGCTCCGGGGGAAGGGGAAAAAATAAGAGGTGCAGCGAGCAATAGGAGGAGGAGGGGGGGGTATTATTAGTGGACAGGGGGGAGAGCGGGAAGGATAGGAGGGAGAGCCAGGAGAATAGAGGAGAGAGAGAGCAGAGAGATTACAGGAGGACTCTTGCAGGACTCGGAGAGAGAGAGAGAGAGAGACAGACAGACAGACAGACAGACAGACAGACAGACAGAGACAGAGACAGAGAGAGAGAGAGAGAGAGAGAGAGAGAGAGAGAGAGAGAGAGAGGGTGAAGGGTGAGAGGGGGAGACAGGTTTGCAGTTAGACCCCCATTAACTATCCCAGGTAGAGGGGTAGAGCAGTATAGATAAAAGTAGTGTAGCAAGGAACTAAGTTTATTAGAAACAATAGTTTTGTCACCATTTTCTGCTTCACTGTTCCCTGTCACAGCTGTGTGACGTCATCAACAAACTCTGCACATCTTTAATATTTAGAATTTAGAACTAGAAATATTTTTTTTCACTAATACTTCAGTTCTGTTTTATCTGAGAAATATATTTAATCCTGAAGAATGCTAGCAAGGAACACGTGGCTAATATTATTACTGATATGTGACGTAGACTTTAGGCATATCCCATTCACACACCTGGCAGAGGAGCACCCCATATATCTGGCTAGTGCGCACATAAACACCAGGCTTGATAACATGTACATGGAAGATGCCACACACACACACACAAGTGTAGATATAATAGAGCCCAATAGGCTCAGGAACCTGTACACCAGTTGTTTGACGGTTGAGAGGCGAGACCAAAGAGCCAGAGCTCAACTCCCGCAAGCACAACTAGGTAAGTACACACACACACACACACACACACACACACACACACACACACACACACACACACACACACACACACACACACACACACTATTCATATAGATTTAACGTTACCAGGGTGGGGAGTGGGAGAGAAAGAAGCAGCACCTTAGATGGTGGAGGAAAACAGGAAGCTAAGGTGGAGGGCCACCTTAGCAAGGTGGAGGGCCACCGTAGCAAAGTGGAGGGCCACCTTGCTAAGGTGGAGGGCCACCTTAGCAAAGTGGAGGGCCACCTTAGCAAGGTGGAGGGCCACCTTAGCAAGGTGGAGGGCCACCTTAGCAAGGTTAGCAAGGTGGAGGGCCACCTTAGCAAAGTGGAGGGCCACCTTAGCAAAGTGGAGGGCCACCTTAGCAAAGTGGAGGGCCACCTTAGCAAGGTGGCCCAGGCGACAAGATAATAACAAGACCCTAACACCAATGACCCCGCCAGACCCACCACAGTCACTGGCCCAGCTTCCTGCAGCATTATGAGCAAAAAAGACCACTCAGCATGTGAACAAGAGCCCAGTACTCTGGTGACTCTGGGAGCCGGACGTACTTCAGTACTCTATATATTTGTCTCCTACACTTCTTGTTTGATAAGCCGTTCACTTGAGGCAGTTAAGCAAGTCCCAGCTCCTGTGTTTGGGTACGAGGGACAGGATGAACAACCCAGCGGGTTTTCTTCCTATTGGGGAGTGTTGTACATGCTGCTATGGCGGTGTGTTCACTCACAGGATGGGTGGCGGTACCTAGTGAACTCGTCCCTCGGGGCAAAATATAAGCAAAATTCGAAGTATAGACCCCAGCATGTGCTGGGGTCTGTGCTTAAAAAAAAATATTTGTACACCCACACACCAGCCAGGTGTACACCCACACACACCAGCCAGGTGTACACCCACACACACCAGCCAGGTGTACACCCACACACACCAGCCAGGTGTAAACCCACACACACCAGCCAGGTGTACACCCACACACACACCAGCCAGGTGTACATTCACACACACACACACACACACACACACACACACACACACACACACACACACACCCCAAGCAGGTGTACACAGCTACCAGAAATTAAGACAAACAAACGAGTCTCTTTACGAACGTCTACAAACGTTTATAAACAATAAAGAGAGATCGTTGATTGGCCGACGAGTTGGTGGTAGTCTCCTGGTATTGGCTGCAGACCTTGTTTCATCGGACCTTAATACCCCTCGCTCCGGGCACCAGCGAAGGTCCGCTTATTTCGCAGAATAACTTATGGACTATACCCGTCACTGGACCCCTGGACCATACCCGTCACTGGACCCCTGGACCATACCCGTCACTGGACCCCTGGACCATACCCGTCACTGGACCCCTGGACTATACCCGTCACTGGACCCCTGGACCATACCCGTCACTGGACCCCTGCTGTTCCTGCTCCTGGCCAGGGCCTTTTTTACTACGCTTTCTCCGGGGTTCGCGGACTTTTATATAATGGTCACTCCGTGGTCCAAGTATAAGGGGGGGGGGATTGGTAAGGTGGTTAACACACCCACTATTGCAATATCTAATTAACTCTTAGTAATTATTTCACAATAGCATGATGTGTGAAATGAACAAATCCACAAGGGCCGTGACGAGGATTCGAACCTACGTCCGAGAGGATCCCAGTCGCTGCCTTAATCGAGTAAATCATGTTGTAGGTCAGTCGATTAAGGTAGCGTCTGGGATCCTCTCGGACATAGGTTCGAACTCTTGGCACGGCCCTTGTGGATTTGTTCTTAGTAATTATCTTTACCACCAGTACACCATGGAATCGAACTGCGTCCATTATTTCAGTGGGAATCCGTGGCTCATTCCACTGGAGAGCAAACTTTGCGCACCGCACGGGTTAACTAGAGAGCCGGTCGACAGCACACTGGACTTGTGATCCTGTGGTCCCGGGTTCGATCCCGGGCGCCGGCGAGAAACAATGGGCAGAGTTCCTTTCACCCTATGCCCCTGTTACCTAGCAGTAAAAAATAGGTACCTGGGTGTTAGTCAGCTGTCACGGGCTGCTTCCTGGGGGTGGTGGAGGCCTGGTCGAGGACCGGGCCGCGGAGACACTAAAAAAAGCCCCGAAATCATCACAAGATACTACGGGCTCACCATAGCCCGTGTTACTTGGAAATTTTTGTTCCAGGTAGCGAATCTGTTAACAACAAAAAAAAAATCTCAAGATAACCTCAAGATAACTGTCTCAATATTATTAGTACAAGACTAATTATATGCAAGATCCATCAGTTATCCTCCTGTCTCCTTCCCTCTGACCGGTTGGCTCGTTGGTCGTTATACGTTTGGTAACGAGCAAGATCAGTGAGGGGAAACATGAGGAGGATTAATGAGACTTAAGAACTCAGATTAATGAGACTTTCTTCTATTGATAATTACTTGAGGGCCAATTAATTTATGATTATTTATCTTTTCAGCTGTTTGATGATTAATTCATTGTTCATAATTATTATTGGACTTGAAGAAAAGGCCTAAAGGCAGCAAGGAAGCCCCAGACGATATGCTGAGAATTAATAGAAGGGGAAACTTAATAAAATATTTACACCCTATCTTGAGGTTATCTTGAGGTTATCTTGAGGTTATCTTGAGGTTATCTTGAGGTTATCTTGAGGTTATCTTGAGGTTATCTTGAGGTTTATCTTGAGGTTTATCTTGAGGTTAATCTTGAGGTTAATCTTGAGGTTAATCTTGAGGTTAATCTTGAGGTTAATCTTGAGGTTAATCTTGAGGTTATCTTGAGGTTAATCTTGAGGTTAATCTTGATGTTAATCTTGAGGTTAATCTTGAGGTTAATCTTGAGGTTATCTTGAGGTTATCTTGAGATGATTTCGGGGCTTAGCGTCCTCGCGGCCCGGTCCTCGACCAGGCCTCCTTTTTGTTACACACTCCCCCAGGAAGCAGCCCGTAGCAGCTGTCTAACTCCCAGGTACCTATTTACTGCTAGGTGAACAGGGGGCATCAGGGTGAAAGAAACTCTGCCCATTTATTTTCCGCCTCCACCGGGGATCGAACCCGGAACCTCGGGATTACGAATCCGAAGCGCTGTCCACTCAGCTATCAGGTCTGTGGTAACACCCTCGTAGTGCCTCGGAACTCATATACTGTTGAATAAATGGAAACACAGCCGCCATGATTGGGGAAAGATGCACAGGTTTCGCAAACTGATGCACAAGTGGTCGAGGAGTTATGGCACAGATTAGTAAGAAGATTACTATACTTGTGGCTATTAAGCCCAAACGTTTCTGTCTTTGATCTCACTTTGTAGTTGGTCTCAGGGTGTTGATGGTGCATGTTGTGAAGGAAGTGTTGTAGGGGGCGTCAGGTGTGTGAAGGAAGTGTTGTAGGGGGCGTCAGGTGTGTGAAGGAAGTGTTGTAGGGGCGTCAGGTGTGTGAAGGAAGTGTTGTAGGGGGGTCAGATGTGTGAAGGAAGTGTTGTAGGGGCGTCAGGTGTGTGAAGGAAGTGTTGTAGGGGGCGTCAGGTGTGTAGGCGAAGTGTTGTATTTAACCTGGAATTTCATCCATGCAATTGTATAATACAATGCCATTCAATAGCTGTTTGAAGTTCGATGCCTTACGGATTTCGAGTGACAGAGAACTCAGTTACAGTCTAAGTCAATAAGGCCACTTTGAGCTCAAGAGTCTGGCTTGCCGCGTCCTCCAGAAACAGCTGGACACCAGCGGGATGAGAGTCGATCACCGGCTCTTGGGTCTCTCTTCTGCCGTAATGTGATAAGGACAAAATGTTAACCCTTGGTCTCCGGAACTCCGTCTTCTGCGAAGTCTCTCCCCGCGGGCCCTCGACGATTGAAGCAGCTCGTAGAGTTTAACAACTTTAAATTGTGGCTATGTTGCTGCCTGATTCTTGTGTGTCGCCTTCCTCCTCCTCCCTTGGGTCGTCTTCCATCTTGGCTATGTTGCTGCCTGATTCTTGTGTGTCGCCTTCCTCCTTCTTCCCTTGGGTCGTCTTCCATCTTGGCTATGTTGCTGCCTGATTCTTGTGTGTCGCCTTCCTCCTTCTTCCCTTGGGTCGTCTTCCATCTTGGCTATGTTGCTGCCTGATTCTTGTGTGTCGCCTTCCTCCTTCTCCCTTGGGTCGTCTTCCATCTTGGCTATGTTGCTGCCTGATTCTTGTGTGTCGCCTTCCTCCTTCTTCCCTTGGGTCGTCTTCCATCTTGGCTATGTTGCTGCCTGATTCTTGTGTGTCGCCTTCCTCCTTCTCCCTTGGGTCGTCTTCCATCTTGGCTATGTTGCTGCCTGATTCTTGTGTGTCGCCTTCCTCCTTCTCCCTTGGGTCGTCTTCCATCTTGGCTATGTTGCTGCCTGATTCTTGTGTGTCGCCTTCCTCCTTCTCCCTTGGGTCTTCTTCCATCTTGTATTCGTTTCCCTTTTACTAAACTTTTCTTTTTCTGTCTTGGAAGTTTTGCGTCTTCAATTGTATTGACTGTGACTTTATTATTATTATTATTTTTCTTTCTATTGACTATTTATTCCCTTGTCAAGAACAGTGTTCTATATTTATTTGTATTTAATGGTGTTCGGTCCGTGTTGCACCTCGGGTATTGAGCCTTGCTTTTGTCTTGCTTTCTCTCACCACTTGAGTGTTCGTCTCTATTAAGAGTGACGAGTCAGGCTCCGGCTGTTGTGTGGGCTCCCGAGCCAGATTCACGAAGCAGTTACGCAAGCACTTACGAACCTGTTCATCTTTTCTCAATCTTTGGTGGCTTTGTTTACAATTATTAAACAGTTAATGAACTCCGAAGCACCAGGAGGCTGTTTATAACAATAACAATAGTTGATTGGCAAGTTTTCATGCTTGTAAACTGTTTAATAAATGTAACCAAAGCCGTCAAAGATTGAGGAAAGATGTACACGTTCGTAAGTGCTTGCGTAACTGCTTCGGAAATCTGTTCTCTGGTTCACCTGTTCTTCCTGTTCTCACCTTGATATTCATGAATAATAACGTTATAGATATTAAACAATTACACAGTTACAAAGACAACCTTCCCAAAGTTCCTTATTCACAATTCTCCTCTCCAAAAATTCTCCTCCACTTCCAACATGGACCTCATGCTCCTCATGATGGCCCTGTAACCTAACCTAATCTTCCTCATAATAATCTTGCCGTCATTTAATAATACTCATAAGTCTTCCTTACCTGTTCCTCATAATGATCTTAACGTTACTTTCACTTCCTCATAATGGCTCCTCAGCACTTATGTGATATTCACAAAGCAAGTGCTTGAGCCTCACAATAATGTTACTCACAGCGATCCTCCTCATATTTCCCTTCTGTACTCTAATAGCAAACTGATGGGGCCGTATTCACGGGCCAATTGTGTCGTTGAGGCAAAATGTGAGCCCCAGAACGACCAGTTGCCAGTCGTGGCCACAAACTCTTTCTCTGTGGCAGGAAAAGTCTAACAATAAACGCCTAATATTACTTTAGCGCTGAGAGTCGCTGCCCTGGAATCCTATTAACATAATTTAGATCACGAGGCGAAGTCTACGAGGCGCCGGGGTGGCTTGGGTGACGTCTGGCCACCAGAGGCACATGTAGCAGAGTGGTCGAGGCCCTCATGGCCCCGTGGAGGCCCTCATGGCCCGGTGGAGGCCCTCATGGCCCCGTGGAGGTCCTCATGGCCCGGTGGAGGCCCTCATTGCCCCCCTGGAGGCCCTCATGGCCCCCCTGGAGGCCCTCATGGCCCCCCTGGAGGCCCTCATGGCCCCCGTGAAGGCCCTCATGGCCCCCGTGGAGGCCCTCGTGGCCCCGTGGAGGCCCTCATGGCCCCGTGGATGCCCTCATGGCCCCGTGGATGCCCTCATGGCCCCGTGGATGCCCTCATGGCCCCGTGGATGCCCTCATGGCCCCGTGGAGGCCCTCATGGCCCCGTGGAGGCCCTCATGGCCCGGTGGAGGCCCTCATGGCCCGGTGGAGGCCCTCATGGCCCGGTGGAGGCCCTCATGGCCCCGTGGAGGCCCTCATGGCCCCGTGGAGGCCCTCATGGCCCCGTGGAGTATTATAGCCCATGAAAACGTTTGATTTTTCTATCGCAAGAAACGTAATATGCGCCTATTTTATTATCTCTTGATAAGGACTTCTAACATCATGAGCCACATGGGAGCACGACCCACATGGGAGCACGACCCACATGGGAGCACGACCCACATGGGAGCACGACCCACATGGGAGCACGACCCACATGGGAGCACGACCCACATGGAAGCACGACCCACATGGGAGCACGACCCATATGGGAGCACGACCTACATGGGAGCACGACCTACATGGGAGCACGACCCACATGGGAGCACGACCCACACTAGAACACCAAGAAAGGATAGTTGAAATTTTTCAATAGAGGAGAAAATTGGCATGAGGGAGAAGGGAGGTGTGAGGACATATTGATCAGGGATTGGTGGACCGACTTGCCAGAGGTCAGGTCACCAGGTGGTGTGGGGGAGGGTCAGGTCACCAGGTGATGTGAGGGGAGGGCCAGGTCACCAGGTAATGTGGGGGGAGGGTCAGGTCACCAGGTGGTGTGGGGGGAGGGTCAGGTCACCAGGTAATGTGGGGGGAGGGTCAGGTCACCAGGTGTTGTGGGGGAGGCCAGGTCAGGTCACCAGGTAATGTGGGGGGAGGGTCAGGTCACCAGGTGTTGTGGGGGAGGCCAGGTCAGGTCACCAGGTAGTGTGGGACCTGGCGATAAAGTGTCCATAAAGTCATTTCATTAGTATCTCTTTCTGTCACATTAAAGATGCGTCAATAAAGACAAGTGTGACCAAGGAGTAAAGGGAGGCAAGTGGTCCCCATCTTGCCTTTGGGGGTGAAATATATCCACAATTAAATTCTGTAGAATAAGAAAAGAATCCCAAAAGGAATGTGGAGGTGAGATAACAGGAGACTCGGAGGAGGAAGGAACGGAAGGGGCGAGGTGAGAGAGAAGAGATATGAGGTGGTGAGAGGAAGAAAATGGTGTGAGGGAAATGATGAGCAGCACGCTTGAGCAACGTGAAGTGAGGTAGAACTGAGATGGGGAGATGATGTGAGGTAGTGTGAGGGTGGGTAGAGTAGGGAGGTGGTGGTGCTGCTCCAGTATGAGGACGAGGAAGAGGAGGTGGTGGCCCAGTATGACCACCTCGGACAAAGATGACATTGTTATCCCCAGCTTGAGTAATCTTGCCAACCTCACTTAACCAGATGACCTGTCTGGGTCTGCAAGGTAGCGTCACGCAGAGCCAAGCCTGCAGAGCAGAAACTAGACTATATTTTGTAATTGGGTCTAATTTTTCTTCCATTTTCTTACCGCGGCGTTGTCGAGGTGTGCTCCCGAGCGCCTCGGTAAGCGCAAGGACAACAAAAACAATGCCTCGCTCTCCAATACACATAGTGGAGAAATCTGCCGATGACTTGGGGTGTGTGGAGCGTGATTAAGGTTTTCTTCAGCAGCACCAGCAGCAACAGCAGCAGCAGCACCACCAGCAGCAGCAGCAGCAGCAGCAAGGGCATTGTGTTGGAGCTTTTAGAAGCCTCTAAGAACACCACCTCAAACTCCGCGTGATGCAACTGTGACGCGCCAATGTCTACCTTTACGTCTAAGTTATTTTAAAATATATAATTCCAGTCAGAAAATGGAGAACCGACGATCTTTCGGTCAGTCTTGGGCTGACGGACCGAAACGTCGTCGTTTCATCATTTTCTAATATGTGGTTTGTTCATCATATCTTCAGTCACGTTGTTGCGACTCATCGTCTGCGTAATTACATAATATAATGAATGTTTATAGAAACGTGAAGAAAAATACAATGATTTTGTTATTTTAATAAGAATATTTTGATGAGTCTGGTCGTAGTTTTTCTGAAGACTGCCTCAGTGTTTTTGTTCATATTCGGAGTCTGGCTTTGTTTACAAGAGTCTTGTGGAGAGTTCGCGGAGCTTTTCATGTGGAGTTACAAAGGAATGTTGAATCTGCAGCGTCTCTCTCTCTCTCTCTCTCTCTCTCTCTCTCTCTCTCTCTCTCTCTCTCTCTCTCTCTCTCTCTCTCTCTCTCTCTCTCTCTCTCTCTCTTTCCTACCATCTTTATACGTTTTGCATCTTCCCGTTTGCCTTAGTGGCGGCTCCTCCGCACATTTTTTTGTATCCAGTGTTTCTTCTTTCTTAATTTTACTTCTATTTGGTCTCGGTGACCTTGCTACGCTGGACCCCATCGTCTGCAGGACGCCCCCATCGTCTGCAGGACGCCCCCATCGTCTGCAGGACGCCCCCATCGTCTGCAGGACGCCCCCATCGTCTGCAGGACGCTCCCATCGTCTGCAGGACGCCCCCATCGTCTGCAGGACGCCCCCATCGTCTGCAGGACGCCCCCATCGTCTGCAGGACGCCCCCATCGTCTGCAGGACGCCCCCATCGTCTGCAGGACGCTCCCATCGTCTGCAGGACGCCCCCATCGTCTGCAGGACGCCCCCATCGTCTGCAGGACGCCCCCATCGTCTGCAGGACGCCCCCATCGTCTGTAGGACGCCCCCATCGTCTGCAGGACGCCCCCATCGTCTGCAGGACGCCCCCATCGTCTGCAGGACGCCCCCATCGTCTGCAGGACGCCCCCATCGTCTGCAGGACGCCCCCATCGTCTGCAGGACGCCCCCATCGTCTGCAGGACGCCCCCATCGTCTGCAGGACGCCCCCATCGTCTGCAGGACGCCCCCATCGTCTGCAGGACGCCCCCATCGTCTGCAGGACGCCCCCATCGTCTGCAGGACGCCCCCATCGTCTGCAGGACACCCCCATCGTCTGCAGGACGCCCTTTCATTTTTCCTGTTCGCTCTCGTCTGTTACTGTAGTCTGAGTTAATGCTCCAAAAAGTTATAGATGGAGGCGGCTTCCACGATCTCTTCCTTCAGTACATGCCACTTGTGGACCTCCCGTACAGAGTATGAATATTTCCTCACATTTCTTCGGCTTCTGAGCATTTCCAGCTTCCACCTGACTCTTGAACTATTTTATATCTATTGATAAAGGCTGTCGTTGCCCACTGTGTTTATCTTATCAGTATCTAGAGCTATTCAGTATTCAATCAGTATCAGTGTTCTAGAGCGTGTCTAGGAATGCCCAACGCATAGGTTCGAACCCTCATCACGGCACTTGTGAATTTGTTCGTTGATATATCACGTTATTGTGATTTCTATATGTGGTATCTTGCATGTTGTGATCAAATCCCCTCTGATCCTTCTCTCCTTTAGAATTGTGAGATTAAGTTATCTTAATGTACCCGCGTATCTTAGCCTCCGTAGTTATTGCTCACATCTTGTCCGAGTATTATTGTATTGGTCTTAGACAATGTAGGGTCTTGAGAGTCCTTATTTAAGCTGTTA